GAATTTTTACTCTTTATATAGCTCAGAGACAAGCAGCTATTGTATCATCAATTCCTGGTACAACTCGTGATGTAATTGAAATTTCATTAAATATTGGTGGTTATCCAATTATTATCGGTGATACTGCTGGATTAAGGCAATCTAATGATCTTGTGGAAATCGAAGGAATCAAGCGAGCCAAAGATCGGTAATACTGCATTAATAATTTTATAACGCCTATTACATAAATTTTATTACTGAAATAAAAAATTTATTACAGTATGCTTTCAACCGACATAAAAATATGTATTCTTTCTGGTATTGAAGTTTTAAAATCATTAAATTCTAATGAAGAAAATTCATTTGAAATTATAAATCCTCTGATTAAAGAATCTATAGATAAATCTACCTTTCTAATTATTAATAAGTGTGATCTTTTAAATACATCTGAATTAACTTTTCTAAAAAAAACGATTTCTAAAATTTTTCCTGAAAATTACATTTGTTACTTGTCATGTATATATGGAGATGGTATTAAGGAATTTCTCGATATATTTGTGAACTCTTTGAAACAAAAGTAGGTTTTTTCCTTTTTTTATTTTATTTTTTTGCTTTAAATACTTCATCATAACTAGGTTTATGGTGTGTTAGGTATGATAATTCAGCTACCCAAGTTGCTTTAATTACACAATCACGACATCGGAATCATCTTAACGATTGTATACATAGTTTACAAAACTTCCTTGGTAAGACTTGTTGTATTCTTATATTTCTTAAATTACTTATATTTAATTATTTTATAGCTCAAAAAGATATAGTACTAGCAGCTGAAGAATTAAGATATGCGACAAACGCATTAGGTAGAATTACTGGACATATTGAAGTTGATGAAATATTAGATGTTATATTTGAAAGATTTTGTATCGGAAAATAGTGATTAAGGGTAAAGGGTATGTAGATTATTTCAATATCAGATATATATATACAAATCGAGTATATTAATGTTTTGCTTCAGAAACAAATATAATAATAATAATAATAATAATAAATTCGTAACAAATATATCAATTAAAAATACATTTATAACTTAATACAGTCTTACTAATTTCGCTGGTCTCGAAAATTATTATTAATAAAACAAGTGGCGGCTTACTTTTAAAATCCGTACATTATGATGATTTTTTTGTACATTAATGAGGTTTTTTTTTTGCTAAATATAGTATGCAAAATTAAAAAGCAATCGTGGTAAATTCTAGACATCACAGTAATCCAATTCACCACGCACAAAAATCTTGGATATTTAATTTTCATTAATTTGGGTGTCCTTAAATGTTACATTAATAGCGAATCTATTCCTTTCAGGCTTATTAATTATTAAAATAATAGACTAATCTAATAATACTTTTGTTTTTTTTTTTTTGTTTTTTTTTTTTTTAAATCTAAATTTAGCATTTTCAAGTGGTATAACAATTGTAGGACTATCATTAAATTTTCATGCCGATTAATGAAAATATGATGTGCAACTTTTCCAAGTTATCTCAACATTTATTAAAGCTTAGTTTTTGTCTTCGCGAAATTTTTTCACAGGCATTAAGGTTGATCTGGTCATTCTATGAATTTCTACTTCTTCATGCCTGCGCTTAAGAATGCCACGAGGTGGGGTAGATGGTGTAACTAAAGTGTTTGATGAGACTGTGCTATCCTTAACGTACTCTGGAATCACGTAAATCGTATAATAATTAACTAATATTCTATGTAATATTGTTTACAAAAAAAAAGAATAATAATAAAAAATTCAGATCTGAATTTAACCTCGTGTAACGTTAACACCCCAGCTAATAGACTTCGAAGATCTTCGGCATCTGTCGCCATTGGGAGTTTCAGATGTGCTACTACTGGCAATACCATTTGGAATATCAACCTCCATCGTATCGTTGATATCTGCAGTATCAATGGACAATCTATCAGTGATTTCGGTAATAGTTTGAATATATTTCTGTGCAATTATCTTTGCTTGGTTTCTACATGTTGCAGACGTATCAACATTATTGACAATAGCAATCATCCATTGTATGATTGTTGTTAATTCAGCTCTAATATGGAACGCCCCATAACCTATATAAAATAAATAAAATTTTAATTTAGAAATCAAATAAATCTTTTTTTTAATTTTGGCGTATACTCGATTTAATTACCGATCGGAATAACTGTCAATATTTTTTCAAGCACATCCTCCAAGATTTTCTTTATCAAATTTTTATTTTTACTTTTAGTAAGGGGAGATTGGAAAGGTTGTAGTAGCTGCGCTATCGGGATTCTCCATTCAACCTATGTATAGTAAATTGCTGGTCAATTTGATGATATTTATCATGTATATTAAAACTTATACCTAATATATACCAAATTTCCCACGAAAGTCATTTCATCGACGTATACATCACATAAATGATATTTAATACCATCAGGCACATCGGGACTATAAATCAAACGATTTTTTTTTTTTTTTAATGTCCTGAAATTTGTTATGCTTAAATTCAATATAAATAATTCAACATACTCTTCCAACGTTGATTCCGCCATTGTTGAAATCGGTAAGTTATTCCAACCGTCACGAGAAATTCTTGTGAGTAATGCTCTAATAAAAGATCTGATCATATCATATAATTTATAGATTCTAAAACAAAAATTTGACATCTTCAATAATCTTTGTTAACAATATAGATATTTTCTTTCTTTATCTGTCCATGTACAGTACCTGTGACTATCAATATTATTCCACTCTTTTTTTATAGTCGTCCAAAACGATTTGACAAATGGAATTAAATTTAGGTTATTGATAACACCCATAAGGTTACTAATAGTATAGGGCATATCGGTTACTGTGGACATCTTTAGACCTATCATATAATGATAATATTAATACATAACATTGAAATATAAAATACTTTATTAAAATTTATTAAAATGAACAATTTACATTCAATCAGACAGTGCCATAACCTCAAAAACATAATCAGGTTTATTTGCTTATTAGCTATAAGATCTGCCAGAACTTCAATGCTCCTGTTACGTTCATCCTCGTCTACCGTGTTGTATAAAAGATTTTTATAAGTTAAATATTAATAGAATCTTTAATATAAATACTTAAAAATGAAAAACATACTTGGTGATTGAAGCCTATCAACGATATTATTATACACCTGAACAGAATCATCAGAAAGATCAAATACTGGAATATTCTGATTATTCTTTTGATTATTAGGTTTATTTTTTTTATTTTTTGGAATATTTGGAATATTTGGATTATTATTCTTTTTGTTCTTCTTTTTCTTTTTCTTCTTAGTACTAGTAACTGTACAAGTATATAATTTAATTTTCTATTTAACCTAATAATTAGTGTAAAGCACAGCTTCCTAAATTCCATTAAAAAAAAAAAAAAAAATTGAAGAAAATAACGGTATAATTCTTTACTTACCTTCTGGTACCTGTTCCAAATAGTCTCGAATGTTCTCGTTTAAACCGGCTTGACCATTGTCTAGATCAGTTTGCCAATTATTAACCACAGGAGCCGAAGTGGTAGCAATAGCGTTCATTTCGTTAGATTTTGAATTTAGACGCGTCACCCGTCGAAGGTCAAAAATGCATTTTTTTAAAGTTCAGAATTTTGATTGGTTTTTATCCTCCAATCAAAAGTTATGCGTATAGAATAGTTCTGATTGGTTGATGTTGACATGGCTTAAATTATGAAAAAAAATTCGGCCTTCGTCGGGTAAACCACGTGACT